AGGGCCTTTCTGTCTTTTTTAAAATACTGTTTTAATTACAGAAACTGATTTTCTGGGAAGGTTAAGAAAACTAAAGCTCTTTCACATGCTGCCATGTGCCTTAACATGACTTCCTGGGCTTGCTACAGAAAAGCATTCCCTCCTCCAAGTTCTACACTGATTACAGACTCAGGGACAAAGTCAAGTACCCAGGTAATGATCAAGGGCATGGGGTTTTTTTAAATGAGGGGGGCAGGGAGAAGAACGTGTTTAGAAAAGATAATGGACCTAAAATATCCCCAAACCTTGAACTATGACTTATTTGAAGTTCAAGACATGTGGTTAGCCACCCTGTCATATGATTCTGCACTTCCTGGTTTGGGCCTGTACCAACCTCCACAAGAAAAACTACTATGTTGTCTAATAAAGAAACAAAACATTGCAGTAAAAATGAAACACTCTGAGCAGTTCCTGCAGAATGCTGGAGTATCGCCTCTCCATACGCACATAACACCCGGGTATGGAACAAAGTATTGTGAAAGTGCTTATTTTATAAACAAAGGTTAAGCTGATGCAAGCACAAAAGTATTCTGTGCTCTGACATAGTAAATTATGAGATGATGACATTTCAGAATGACCTGAATTTCCAGTAACATAATTTCTGGGGAGAACACCACAAAAGGAAGAAAAAAAACCTAACTTGTGAATAATCTTCCAAAACTCTCAATCACCAATATACTCAGTTATCCCCTGCTTGAAATCTCAGTTCATTAAACCCCTCCTAAATCTTCAAACAAAGTTACGCTCAACACTACTCTTAGAGAGACACCTTGTAGGGAGACATACCTATTGGGATGCTGGAGGAGGGGAGAAAAAGGGTGTGGGGCCCTTACTGGATGAGGGAGGTAATTTAGGGTGTGGTCTAAACTGCCGACAGAGGGATGTAGATTAGGTACATTGCTATTGCAAATGAAGCAAGGATTTAAATATCCTGCGCTTCATTTGAATAGAAATGGCCGTCGCTTTTTGCCGACGTGGCACTTTGCCGGCAAAAAGCGGCAGTCTAGATGGGGATCGGTCGACAAGGAAAGCCTTTTCTGACCGATTCTGTAAACCTCGTTGCACGAGGCATAAGGGATTGCTCGGAAAAGGCTTTCCTTGTCGACCGATCCCTGTCTAGACTGTCGCTTTTGCCGGCAAAGTGCCGCATCAGCAAAAAGTGATGGCCATTTCTATTCAAATGAAGCGCGGGATATTTAAATCCCTGCTTCATTTGCAATAGCAATGTGCCTAATCTACATCCCTCTGTTGGCAGAGGGTGTAGTTTAGACACACCCCTAGTGACAGATGATGTGGGAAAAGCCGAAGCACTCAGTGCTTTCTTTGCCTCTGTCTTCACAGACAAGGTCAGCTCCCAGACTACTGCTCTAGGCAACGTATGGGAGGAAGGAGGTGGGCAACCCTCAGTGGAGAAAGAACAGGTTAAGAACTATTTAGAAAAGTTGGACATACACAGATCCATGGGGCTGGATCTAATGCATCTGAGGGTGCTGAGAGAGTTGGCAGATGTGATTGCAGAGCCATTGGAAATTATCTTTGAAAACTTGTGGAGATCAGGGGATTTTTATTGTACATACTGTATACAGTATACTGTAATGTTTTAGTTTTTTTAAGCCTTTTTTACCCTTTTTGCTCCGTTCAGCTGCTGCCGCTGTTACCTTGTGACTCACTTTTTTGCCGAAGCTCACTCACTAGGCTCTTGCCATTTTGATGCCGGACTATCAGGAGTGCCGGACTATTGGATGCCGGACTATTGGAGTTTTACTGTATTTAGAAAAGCTAGACATACAGAAATCCATGGGTCCAGATTGAATGCATCCAAGGGTACTGAGGGAGTGGGCAACTGTCATTGCAGAGCCTTTGGCCATTATCTTTGAAAACTCATGGAGATCAGGAGAGATCCTGGATGATTGGAAAAAGGCAAATGTAGTGCCCATCTTTAAAAAAGGGAAGAAGGACAATCCAGGGAATTACAGACGAGTCAGACTTATCCCAGTCACTGGCAAAATCATGGAATTCATTTTGAAGCAGGAAAAATGATCAGGAATAGTCAACATGGATTCACCAAGGGCAAGTCATGCCTGACCAATCTGATTAGCTTCTATGATGAGGTAACTGGATCTGTGGATATGGGAAAGTCAGTGGATGTGATATACCTTTGACTTTATCAAAGCTTTTGATATGGTCTCCCACAATATTTTTGCCAGCAAGTTAAGTAAGTATAGATTGGATAAATGGACTGTAAGATGGATAGAAAGCTGGCTAGACTGTCAGGCCCAATGGGTAGTGATTAATGGCTCAATGTCTGGTTGGCAGTCAGTTTTTAACGGAGTGTCCCAAGGATCAGTTCTAGGGCTAGTTTTGTTCAACATCTTTATTGATGACCTGGATGAGGAGATGGATTGCACTCTCAGCAAGTTTGCAGATGACACTAAACTAGGGGGGAAGACACTAATCATCCGGGATCTCTCCCAAAGAAATCTGACGAGGTTCAACAAAGACAAGTGCAGAGTCCTGCACTTGGGACGGAAGAATCCCAAGTATTGGTACAGGCTGGGGACTGACTAGCTAAGCAGCAGTTTGGCAGAAAAAGATCTGTGGATTCCAGTGGCTGAGAAGCTGGATATGAGTCAACAGTGTGCCTTTGTAGCCAAGAAGGCAAATGGAATATTAGGTTGCATTAGGAGGAGCATTAGGAGGAGCAGATCTAGAGAAGTGATTATTCTCCTTTATTCGGCTCTGGTGAGGCCACATCTGGAGTATTGTGTCCAGTTCTGGGCCCCCCCACTACAGAAAGGATGTGGACGCATTGGAGAGGGTCCAGCTGAGTTCAACCAAAATGATTAGGGGGCTGGAGCACATGGCCTATGAGGAGAGGCTGAGAGATTTGGGCTTATTTAGTCTGCAGAAGAGAAGAGTATGGGGGGATTTGATAGCAGCCTTCAACTTCCTGAAGGGAGGTTCCAAAGAAGATGGAGGAGGCTGTTCACAGTAGTGACTGATGGCAGAACAAGGAGCAATGGGCTCAAGTTACAAGTGGGAGAGGTCTAGGTTGGATATTAGGAAAAACTATTTAACTAGGAGGATGGTGAAGTACTAGAATGGGTTACCTAGAGAGGTGGTGGAATCTCCATCACTAGAGTTTTTTAAATCTTGGCTTGACAAAGCCCTGGCTGGGTTGATTTAGTTGGGGTTGGTCCTGCTTTGGGCAGGGGGCTGGACTTGATGTCCTCCTGAGGTCTCTTCTAGCCCTATGATTCTATGAAAAAATCAAAGAGCTCAGCATCACTGATTTGCTATCTCTGGCACTAAGTCTTCTAAATTGATCATGGCCTCCCTTTTCAGCAATGTGTCTATCTCCAGCAGGCAGCTAGGAAACACCTGTCCCTGCTAGGAACTTTGAAAATTGCTCCCTCAGACACATGCGGTGTATGTGATTAAGGGCTTCTCTCTGTCTGAGCTTGCATTTGGTTGCACTGAGTAGAAAAAGTACAGCTGCAGCGTGTGCACACATGTGGTTTTTCCCCCACACTGAGGCTCTGCACAATCTTAAAATTCTAGGTATCAGTAAATGGGCCCAAGATAATGCTTTATTGAAAGTCACATGGGTTCCAGGGACTATTCTTCTCTTCCTTTAAAAATGACTAACATTCCTGAAACAGCAATTAATTTCTCTCCAGACACTGTCCGATAAAGCATGATACATATAGTAGGGGTTAGAGAGTATCTCAACAATCCCTACCAACATTTAAAACCAGAATATAAATAGAACAGAACTTCTGCATATTTACAGCATACAAATCATAGCATCTGGCAGCAGCAAATAAGATGGTTTTTAGGTGAATTTAAAGGGACAGAGGCGAAAAATATAGCTAACATTTTAAAAAGCTTGCTTAATGTTAATCATCTACAGTCCACTTGCGTAAGTGCTGAGTACCCACAATGCCTGTTGCAGGCCATAGGATCTGTGGATGTTCAACAGCCCATGGAAATAGGGCCTAAATCTGTATTTAGGCACCTAACTTTAGAACACCAAGTTTGAACATTAGATTTAATAAAACTATTGATTGTATTTCCTAATCTGTATCATGAATGCTTTACAGTTAATGGTTCATAATCTCTTCCTGCTTCTCCTTCCAGGACTTTCTTCCTCTCTAGTGGGAAACCCATTTAGCACTATAATAAGGGCACAGTAGTTACAAACCTCCGATACCTGCTTGCCACTCAAGGTGGGAGCCAATGCTTTAGATTATTAAAACAGCAATAATTTTAATAATTCTTACATTTACATCTTGACACATGCTATAAATAGGAAGGATGGTACAATATCTAGGGCACTAGTCTAACACCTAGGAAACCTGGGTTAATTCTGTGCTCTACCACAGGTCTCCTCTGTGACCACTAGCAAGTCCTAGGGGAAAACTGAGGCATAGAATGGCTAATAAATAGTTCTTTACCTTACATGTGCATTGTGCAGATAAACGAAATAAAGATTCTGAAGTGCTTTGAGAAATGCTGGGAATCTTGTACGACAAGTGCCGCAGAAGGCTTATTAAATACAAAAAAATGGTCTTCCATCAAAAAGATTTTCAAAAAATTACTTGAACATACTGTTGTTAATATTAAGTTTCCTAAAAACTTCATTACCATAATAACTGATTCTGGGACATCATCCACCAGACAGTGTCTATTTAATTTTCTTCCCTGATTCCCAGTGACCATGTTTTATCTGTTGCAGTTATTAGGAAAACACTAAACGATTAAGGAATTCTGTGTATTTTTTTCTTGAGTGAACAATCCATTTTTATCTAGTAAGTACCAGATATTTAAATCAAACTTGCCCCTGTTTAATTGCTGCATTTTGTCATAAATTCAAAGAGGGGGACTCCGTTAATTATCAAGAAGGGGACAAAAAGAGAATGTGGCAGCTGTTTCCAAAGTGACAACATACACAAAAATAAACACTAAACCAATCTGGGTAGTGGCAGAAAATCCTTTTCATATAACGTAACTTTATCCAAGACCAATATTGAAGAATTCCATTGAGCATAATATTTTGACTTTTTTTTGGTGGAGAAAGGAGTCTATGTTTCTTAGGAGCAACTCCCATAAACAAACTGGTTGTCCCAGCAGCGTGTAAGAGAAAAAGGACATGCACAGTTTAGAATAAGATACTCAATTCTCCTTTTCCATTTGATGCATGAACCATCTGCAGTGTCAGAATGCAGCTCCGATACAATATTCAAAAGCTAATCGGTCTCTGTCACATTCACCTAGATAGCTGCTCAGCAATACTAACCAGTCAGGAAAGTTGACACTAGTTTTTGCATCTGAGTCTTGTTTACCTTGAAATTCTTGCTGACAAAGGAGGTTTATTTATAAGACCCAAAATACCAAAAGGTGGAGACAGAGAGAAACAGAGACAGAGACAGACACACACACAGAGAGAGAGAGAGAGAGAGAGAAAACATACTGGCATGTGCTTAACTCCATCTCTTGGTAAACTGGCAAATATCTTTTAATTGCATGTACTCGGTATATCGTATGTAGTCTTTTTATCTAAAGCAGTAGTTCTCAAATTGTGGGTCAGGACCTCAGAGTGGGCTCTGACCCCATCTGAATAGGGTCAGAAGAGCTAGTTAAGACTAGCTGAAGCCTAAAGCCTGAGGATTTGGCCCTGGGCATCTGGGCTCAGGTTACAGGGCACATGGATGGGGCTGAAGCCCTTGGACTTTGGCTTTTGTCGCCTCTTTGTGGGGTCAGTCATTGGCCCCTCCTACCCAGGGCAGAGAGCTTTGGGTTGGTTCAGTCACTCCTCTTGATGGTGGGTCCTGTAGTAATTTGTATTGGCAGATGGGGGTTGTAGCGTGATGAAGTTTGAGTACCCCTGATACAGAGAACTGGGCCAGGAAGATGCAAATCAAGCAAATCAAGTGCGGGATATTTAAATCCCGGGCTTGTTTTGCAACTTCGAATGCCTACATTAGCCTCCCTAGTTTGAACTAGGGGCTAGTGTAGACATACCCTAAGAGAGGATCCATTAGCTTGATTTTCAACTCAGCATAATGCTGCAATGGAGTGAATGGTGCTCCCATGTGAAACATTACACTACATTTTTACTTAGAGCTCAGATTCCATGTTCTTCAACATAGCCCTGAGGATCACAGCAACCCCTTCACTTAATTCCCACCCATTTACACAAGGTGATGATGCCAGTCTGTTCTCCACCGTAAAATGAAGCGTGATTCAGTAATGTTCCTGCTTTCAGTGCATTAGTGGAGTACCAAAGGCAGGGGCAGTAGTTTGTTATAATGACACCTAGAAGATAGCAGATTATAAGCTTCTAGTGTTGTACTTCTGATTGCTTCTCCTCCCCTCTTGTGCTCTCCCAACAATTCTCCTTCCCTCTAAAGGATCCATCCTGATGAATGCTGAGCACTTCCCATGAGGTGTGGTACACCCTCAGTCCCCACCCTACTGGGCCTGATTTTCAGAGGTGCTGAGTCCTCCAGTCAACAGAAGCTGTCGATTTTCAATGCCTCTGAAAATCCAACCCCTTCTCTCTCTTACACATCATCTCTGTAAAACCCTTCTTCTTTTCTCAAGCTTTCCATGTTCTCTTCCCCTTCTCCCTCTGTGAAGCATTTTGTATTACATTACACAACCCATGCCTGGGAATTAAAGACTCACCATTGTCAAATATGGTGCCTGCTGTGAAGGAGAGCTCTGAGTCATGTTCTGCTTTGCAAGCATACAAGGCTCTGGCTTTCCGGAATGGTGAGCTATGAAAAGAGAAAGTATTCAGCATTAAAAAAAACCCCTCTATTAAAAATATCACACAATTTCCTTCCCCACTCTCGCAGGGGAAATCTTGAAGAAGGTGGCAAATGGCAAGGCACAGGGCAAAAAGGTTACCAAGTCACGGGAGAAAAAAAGATAGAAATATTGCAGATAAAGTTGAGCTCTCTCAGCGATATCACTTCCTTCAGAGTCCCATTTCACCACATTGGAAATTTCAGTGAGAAAAAAACTGAAGCATTGAGGAACAAGACATGTACAAAGTTGCCCAATACACTCAGCAGCACTAAATCAGAGGTCACTGAAAGAGTTTCCTGTCCATTAAAAGGGAGAATACAAAAAAGGTCAGAATAAGTTGGTAAGATTGCGTGTGTCACTGAAAAGAAATATCTCACTAAAAACCTAGTTTCTATTTGGGGCAGAGAGGCAGGCAGAAAGAGTAGCCACTCACTGATGCCGTAAATCAGTCAGGTTGGTTCACTTTTAGCATTTGCCCAAAATTACTGTTGAGTTCCTTTCTAGCTTTAGCTGCCCTGGTCTAGTTCCTGGATCTAGTTCCTCTGCACCCACAACAGAACAATAAGTGGCTTCTATTAATAATTTGTTGCCCTTCTTCAGGACCTATCTCTTGAGGGTCTCAAAGCGCTTTAGAAACATTAAACTTCAAAAACTTCCTCTGTATTACCTACACTTTGCAGTGAGGTAAACTGTATTATATGCATTCAATAAAGTCTGTTGATACTATTCTATTTAGTCTGAATACTGATGACCCTATGACAGAATTTTCAGAAGCATTCTTACTCCATGGCTAACTTCACACATTCAGCTGATGGCCTTTCAAAGATCTTCTGCACACCATCTATTGGTCCCCTCGCTGGTCATTCCAGCCATATTAGTTTTCTCCAGATTATTTCTATCTCCATGCCTGTCATCACTTAAGTACGCACATTAATTTCCTGACAACAGGTTTGCTTTTCTCCAAAAATTTTACATCTTCATTGATATTCAGGAAGCATGCAAGAATCTTCACAAGGAAAGCATCTCAAAGGCTTTGATCTTCATCGTAGCAGCAGCAATATTTCCCCAGGATTCACTTCCATAAGCTGCTATGGAAACAAATAAGCTTTTCAACAGTTGAACCTCCAATGTAAACTGAGGCAAAAAGTATTCTCATTCAAAAGCCAACCAGCAATTCACTGGTAAAGTGGAGCACAGAATGCAGGAGTCATGTGACTCTGGCTCTTGCTTCAACCAGCAAAATATAAGTTGTCTCAGATTTCTAGTCAGGCAGGGAAGAATTAGCTGAGTCTTCCACTTCTGTCTTAAGGTTAAAGAAAACTGATCAGTAGGAGCGATGACAAGCTAAGATTTATTTTTTTATTTTAAGCAGAATACTACAGTATAATTAATGCAACAGGTTTTGCAGCTTTGGAAAAAAAAGGAAACTGGGGAGATTCCTCCTGTTTCAGTGAGACAGTCATGTTGGAAGTTGTATGCTGACCTGGCCTTAGATGAAAAATCCACCGAAAAAAATGGATTTTCCTGCCCAAATTGGGAGCACTGGAAGGCAGAAACCTTGTGAAGTTGGTTTGGCTATATGCATCAACTTGGGAAATAGAATGTTTGTTACCTGCCCAGTTCTTTACTATGACTCACTTCTCTCCCAGTCCAAGACATTCAGACTGTTCCTCTGTTTATACGGATACCAGCGACAGCAGTTGATGGCTATCAACTGCTTCCAAAGCTGTATGAAAACTTTAAACTGATATCAGCAGATTCAGAAAACAATATGCCTTACTGAATTGAGTTCAGTGTTCCTTTTTATGAGCATTACTCTGATGGTGACCTCCTCCTCAGGGGAGAATCAACATCATTTCGGGGGGGGGGTCTGGAATGTGGAGGGAGGGTCCTTCATTTGCTTAGGTTTCCTTTTGCCACTGAAAGACTAGAATCGCTATGAAGTTTCACCACTTGACATTGCATCATGCTGAAAATTGTTCCGGCTGCCTGTGAGAACTTCAGGGGAAAACTGAGGTCGGGGGAATAGCAGCATGGTGGGCCACAACAGGGTGCTGTGGAAGCCAATCTCAGACAGACTTCTTAGGTCACTTCCTGCAAGGTGTCCGATGGTGAGGTCCTGATGTGTATTATCTACAAAATGAATCATTACACTAATCCAGGGTATTATCACAATTAACACCTTTATGGACAATCTGGGAACACAGGCCAGATTTAAGGATTTCCAGTAGATTGTTGCAATTCCCATAGGTGAAGTAAAGAAAACTTCAGTAGCAGGACCTGATTAGCCACACTAGACATGGGTGATGTTCCTAGCCTCTACCAGAAGCTGGGAGTAGTCGACAGGAGATAGATCACTAGATGAAGGTAGTGAAGTACTGGAAGGGGTTACCTAGGGAGGTAATAGAATCTCCATCCTTAGAAGTTTTTAAGTCTCAGCTTGACAAAGCCCTGGCTGGGTTGATTTAGTTGGGATTGGTCCTGCTTTGGGCAGGGGGCTGGACTTGATGACCTCCTGAGGTCTCTTCCAGCTCTATGAGTCTCTGATTCTATCTATGATTACCTGTTTATCCCCTCTGTGGCATCCGACATTGGCCACTGTTGGAAGACTGGATACTGCGTTAGATGAATCTTAGGTCTGACCCAGAATGGCTGCTCTTATGACTGGAATATGCAAATCAGTTCCTTGGTGGAAACATCGGGGTGTTTTTTGGAGAGACTACCACGATAGCAGGAGATAGAGCTTCTGTCCTGAATTCCATCTTCTCTGCCAACTTAATTATCTGCTTGAGCTGTAACGCCTCTTGATCTTTTTCTTGTTTTTTTTTTTCTCCTCTCTCTCTCTCTCTTGCCCTGGGTTCCATGTTGTCTGAGGTTCTGTTCAACACAGTTTGATGCTCCTCATCCTCTCTCAAGATTAATTTTAATGATAGATCTCATCTGTCTCTTTGCATAGTCTTTTGGCAAGAAATCCTTCTTGTCAGGATTTACCATGTCCGTTGCCAGGGATAACACTACTCTATCCTACTTTGCTTGAAGAAGAGATGCACATCTGGAGTCGAGGACATGGTAGAATTCCAAGGCTTGCTAAATGAACCTTTCCCCTTTGTCTTTTCCCATGACGTCTCTGAAGGAAAATGGCAAATTCTGTCCTAATATTTGACCTTAGCTTGCTCATATTCTCATTTTTTGGCTGGATCTCAATGATTGGGCCATTAAATATTTTTTCTCCTAAGGCTGAAAATTCCTCAGGGGAGGAACTCATGGAAGGAGATATATATCTGCAGCACGTTTGGTGCTTTCTGTGGTGTTTTGTTTGTGAGGGAGAAGAAGAGGACAGTCAGCTCTGTCTGAGGACTGTTATCTCTCCTTGCCTGGTCTTACCTAAGGGGTAAGGAGTGGGATGTTAAGCCCCAGACGTCCCTCACTATTCAATATATATTTGGAAAGAAAGCATAGGGAAACACCCAGTGTGACAAAGAAGAATGCTCTGTCCTTGTGTAATTGTCTAGAGAGAAATCTTAGCTGGTGTGGGATGATGCAGAGGCCCTAACAAACCATCCTAATTGAGAAGAGCAAAGGTTTGTTGACTGGGAATGACTGTGGCTCTTCAAATGGTCTCCTTGCAGATGGGTGATATAGAGGCAGCAATGCGGGGTGGCAGCAGCCCCTGTCCAGGAAGGTGGGGTTATCTGAGCTCCCGAACCCAGCGCAAGTCGGAACTGAGCCAGGCTGCCTGTCCACCTAGCTCATAATACACTTTAAATGCAGACCCGCAGCGGGGGTAGGTCACAGACCTGGTGTGAACCAGGACTGATCTGGGCTGCCTGCCCACCTGGCTCCTAATACACTCTATATGCGGTTAATCGACTACACTACTACATCCCTAGCAGGGAGTGGGAGATCCTGCTCACTGCTGTCCCTCAAATCAGTTATTGAAGCTGGGATTACAGAGATATAAAATGGGAGAGGGAGTGTTAGGGTGTGGCCAAACCCTGGAGGTCTAAAGACAAATCTGAAGAGTTTCCACTGTTTTGTTGTATGTTTACCAGCAGAGTAATGGTTTGTAGCAAGGGAAAGAAAGTGCGTTAATCTGACAGCAGTGATTGAAAAGCAAGGTAAGTGGGTAGAAAGAAATTCTGAAAAATGCTTAGGCAACCATGTAAATGTAATTTTCTTTCCATCAGTACCATTAAAATAGGATTTCTGATTTATCACACAAGGGTGAATTGTAATCTGTATTCTAAACATGGAATATTTGGAAGTTTAGATGCAGCGAATCTAATTCCTCACAGCGCAAATGGACATTCTTTGAAAGAACAAATCTTTTACATAGATATTGTAAGAACATTTGTAAAAGCATGCTCATCAAAAAAGAACCTTTTCTGTTAACTGTTTGAATTCAATAAAATAAGGAAACAAAACAAGATTAATACTTTCCCAGAGAAGCCGAGGCTTCTTCCCAAACCTACAAATGAAGTAGGTTTATTTGTCTCATGAGGGTTCATTGTCATCCATCCTACCCCAACATTCAGAGGTTTGCTTTAGGATTTTGAGTTTTTGCAAAGCAAATCTTGATTGAAACTGTCTATTTTCTTCAGCGTCTGACTCGAAACAATCCCATTGGCCCACATTTGATTAAATTGGGTATGGATTCACCCAGAAGTTTTGCAAGCCTCTTCAGGAACCAGGTCAAATTCATAACTGCACCTCAGACAGGGAAAGTTTCACGTAGCTTTGTGATTTCAGTGACACACGTTGGCACAACTCTGAGGCTGACACATTTCCAAGTTTCCCCATCCAGTTTCTAATTGGTTGCCAAGGATGGGGAGTGGCACGGTGAGACAAACACAAACTAAAGGGGCTGTGTGTCTGATTCAGGAGCCATGTAGGACTCACCCAGCATGCAAACCTTTGTGGAGGTTATACAATTAAAACAAAGGTGTTTTCCTGGTAACTACCCTGAATTATTTAAGTTGTTGCTATCGTCACAAAATAAACTTCTGCCTGGTCATCTTTAGGCATCTGCTTCACCCCCCCTCTCTTTTTTTGTCCTCACAGCTCCTCAGTGCAAGTTGCTACTATCAGGACTCTTGTCATTTCTGCTGCTGCAGCGCCCTTCAAGGAGATAAAAAGCTTGGATCCTTCTGATCACTCATTTTTAATTTCTGCCTCCAAGCATGGCAGAGGGCCAGGAAAGCACTCAGTGGAGTTTTCCCAATGTGCCCTTGTACAATTTATAGAACAAGAGAGTTGTCCTCACGGAAGAGGGGCTACTTAGCTGATATTACGCCACTGTTAGGCCTTAGCAGGCTTCCATCAAAACAAATAAATAATCTGAATAGAAAGCAGTTAAATATGGCATTTGTAAGTTGTGGTTGAGGGTAATTTTTCATTTTTTTCCTAAAAGGAGCAGCACCCACATTCTGCATCTCTCCCTGAGATGGAAGAGAGATCTCTCTTCATGCTGCTCTGCAACATTCATGCACTAATGAATGCTAATTAAAGGGCAGGAAAAAAAAAGCAAAGGCAATTCCCGGTTAGGCTGTTCTTAAAGGAATTAATATGGCTTTTTATTGCAGTTTTTATGACCCACTTGAAGAGAAGGGGCCTGTTCAGAGGGTAGTTTTCTGGAGGTCATATTGCAAATCATCAGAGGATGGTTATTGCTACTTCTGGGTCATATACTGCAGCAGCACAGTTGCGAGTGATGGGCTAGGGTTCTGCCTACTAATGAGGGTTAGATACTAAGGCATCAGTGCTGCCCTATAATCCAGCACAGCAAAGCAGATGGGTAGCCTGGTTAACTGAACCACCTTGCCTAACCTAGGGTAGGGAGAGGGGGCAGGAGAAAAGGGGATGTGGTACAGATGACACATCTGTAAGGCAAACTGACTGCTTCTAGCTCCTATACCTATTACAAGAGCACATAAATAGATCAAACGATGTTGCACCAAATCTCATTTCTTTTACAAGGTGAATATTCTTTGCAGTTCCCCACCTTCCATCATACGATACATTGCCAAGGTACTGCTATACACTGAATATGTCTTAAATGCAGACTATACTAATCACAGCAGCCAATAATAATACTTCAATTTCTCAAGGCTACAGGAAATGGCACATCTCAAAACAAGAATGCTCTAGGAAAGTACTTTAGTAGTAGAGACCATGCAGCAATTTTCAGTAGTCAGAGGCACAATGATGCTAGGCACTTTAGAAATAACTTCAATAGAGCATTATATATAGGGCCCTGCCAAATTCACAGCCATGCAAAACGCATCACCGACCATGAAATCTGGTCTTTTGTATACAGGCAGTCCGCGGGTTACATGGATCCGACTTACATCGGATCCCTACTTACAAACGGGGTGAGGCAACCCCGCACTAGCTGCTTCCCCCCAGCAGACCAGGGAGACGCGAAGCTAGTGCCCCCCCGCAGCAAACCAAGGAGACGCGGAGTGGCTTTTCTCAGCAGACACCTCAGCTTGAGAATAAAGGACTGAGGGAAGTGAGGTGTGGGAGAATAAAACTGAGCTCTGGAGAAATGTTTGGCTAGAGTTTCCCCTACATTATGTACCAGTTCCGACTTACATACAAATTCAACTTAAGAACAAACCTACAGTCCCTATCTTGTACGTAACCCAGGGACTGCCTGTACTTTTACCCTATACAATATAGATTTCATGGGGGAGACCAGTGTTTTTCAAATTGGGGGCCCTGATCCAAAAGGGAGTTGCAGAGGGATCATGAGGTTATTTTAGGAGGGTCCTGATATTGCCACCCTTACTTCTGTACTGCCTTCAGAGCTGAGCAACTGGAGAGCAGATGCTCTAATGTTGGCCATGTGCCCAGCTCTGAAGACAGCACCCTGCCAGCAGCAACCCATGTCATCCTTACTTCTGTACTACTGCTTTCAGAGCTGGGTGGCTAGAGAATGGCAGCTGCTGTACAGAAGTAAAGGGTGGCAATGCCACACCATGCAATCCTTACTTCTGCACTACTACTGGTGGTAGCTCTGCCTTCAGAACTGGAGTCCTGGCCAGCAGCTGTTACTCTCCTGCTCTGAAGGCAATGCTGCTGTCAACAGCTGTGCAGAAGTAAGGTTAGCAATACCGCAACCCTCACACAATAACCTTGCAACCCCCATGCAACTTCTTTTTGGGTCAGGACCCGTACAACTATACACCATGACATTTCAGATTTAAATATCTGAAGTCTTGAAATTTACCATTTTAAACATCCAATGATTATGAAATTGACCAAAATGGACTGTGAATTTGGTAGGGTCCTAATGATATAAGTCCATATTCTTCCACCTGAAAGGGTAATAAGATTTTTAAACTATCCTTCATGGTCATGTGAGAGCTAAGTACCAGAGATGCAGACACAGTAAGACAGACAGCCATATTACATAATTTTATTCAGTAATTTGCACCCATATAAATGCAGTTGTGAAAAAGGTGATTGGCCTGGGGGGAAATATCAAGGCATTTAACAATTCTTAGTGTGTGCTTTGCATAACTGGGAGGTTAGTAAATATCTTACCTGTTGAAGAGATGTGTAAACTGAGGTTCAAGTAAATTAAAGGCCTTGGCAAAGGTTACACAACAAGGCAACAGTAGCAGTAGGAAATAGACCTAAGGTCATGATATCTAGTTAGCTGTCTGCTCTGTCCACTGAGAAATTCTCCCAATTTGGGAGGAACTCCTGATAGATAATTGTAAGGTCATCTCAAACCATTCCTCTTGGCTCATGGGATGTTTGGAAGTTTCTTCTCTTGCTGCATGAAGGTAGCTGAAGACCAATGAAGGCTGGTAACTAAAATAACAAGCTAAAGCTGGACTGCACTGGAGGGAAATTGAGGAAGACATAGACAAACACACGCAGAAAGTAAATAAAAATATAATTGTAGCAGCAGCAGGAGCAACAGAAAACCAGAACAAACCCTGCAACAGACCTGATGGGGGATGAGTCGCTGGACGTAGAGGAGGTGGGCATAGGACTTGATGGCGCAGAGAACAAGGGCCAGGACGGTGAAAGGGGTGATGTTGGGCTTGGATTCTGAGTGCTGCAAGACAGAATCAGAAAGCTGATCAACACAAAACCCCCTACAAACAAACCAAACAGAGAAAGACATTCCAAAGCCGTCCAACCGTAGTAGGCACCTGGGGAATATTCACAGCATGAACAAAGCGACAAAATGGAACACTGAGACCTTGGGAAATGGTTTCAAGGCCAGATCTGCATTTCTGTAGACAAAAGGGGCTAGACCTTGCAATTAATCCCTGCGCTATTATTCTTTTGCTGGCAAGCCTGTTGCTTTGTTGTATGGAACGACTACATTCTAGGTTATAGAGGTCATCTCCCTGTGCACAGCTGCTTTCTTTCACCAGCTACTTACCTGCTTTGTTTTATTTCCCCCATTGTTGCCAGAGGCTGTTGATCATATTTCAGGACATTAACGATGTCCGTAACCAGCTTTTCATTCTTCTTTTTATTTTGGTTGTTGTGGTGTGCAAGTATGAAAGGCTGTTCTCTGGGCTGCAATCCACAATGTCTGAAAACAATTTCCTGTTTACATTTTTAACTAAGTGGGCCTTACACTTTGGAAGCCCAGAGGAGTTCATTATCTGAAGGATGGCAGGGAAGTTATTTTACTCTACTAGCTGGCTGAAGAAAACTAAGAAGGAAAAAAAGCCAACGAATATGCCCCAAATCCAATAACTTAGGTACCTATGAAAAAAGATCCTTCATGCCAATATTGACACACCATAATAGAACACATATTCTATATATGCTCTGGGAGTAACACAGATTGCTGACATGAACTCCTCAGGGATAGGAAGAGTCTTTCAGAGTCTTTCAGCAAGTGCTGGGGTTATGCCAAGCTCCCAGAAGGGGCGGAGTCTAAGACAGAAGGGGTGGGGTTAGGAGGTAGCCTCCCCTAGCCAGCCCTTCAGCTCCACCTGTGGCTGCGGCCATGATTTAAAGGGCCTGGGATGCTGGCTGTTGCCTGTGGCAGCTGGGAGCCCCAGAGCTTTTCAAATCACCACGCTCTAGAACAGCTGCCTCCTTTGCCGTCCTCCCTCCGTGCCCCCATCAGCGGTCCTGGAACTCCTCCTCTGTTCTGAGAACAAATGAAAACTACGTTTTAAGTATAACTTATTTTGTGAAATCAGAAAAAGGCTACTGAGGAAAGCATCAGTGCCCTATCTAATGGGATTTCTGCCAGTGCAGCTAGAAGACCGATTACTCATCGTCTGGAGCCAAACACAACTGGTCTATAGCTGTCAAACTTATAAATGATCAGCAAGCCTCAGGAGCCTCTGTTGGGACGCCAGCATGAACCAATCTATCACGATGCAATGGGTTTGCAGGTGATGTGAATGGGGGATATGCAGGTAATAGAGTCAGCTCATTATTTTTGCATTGCTTGCGTTGATTCTTTTCCTCCTTTAAGCTTTCCATTGCCTTTTTAACTGGCTTATGTTGAAATTTACTCTTTTCCTCCTCTCTATAAAAGAAATCAACTCTGCCAGTTCTCCATTTCATATATACTCATTCAATACTTCTTGATCTAGTAGCATCATAATGCAGAATGAAGTGGAACCAGCTTACAGCAAATTCTGATACAGTGAAATTCCTTGTACAGGGAAGTGTAGTAAAACTTCCTTAACTGTTTCAGTGCCTGTGAAGGGATATAAGAACACTTGTAACAACTGTACTTAAAAAATGTGCACCACTTGGAGTCTCAATAATCTTCTATCCTTCCAGTCTATTTGGTGTCTGAATCATATTGTGTGTCTAATTTAGATTGTAAACACTGTATTTTGTACAACACTGAGCACATTACTGGCCCTCAACAAGGTGGGATGCTTTGTAAAGATTTTCTGCTTCAGCCCTCCCCCCGTGAGGACAAAGTGTTCCATTCGGTCCTTGATACGCAGTGGGGCTTGCAAGCTAGTAAGCATGCAGCCAATGGCCTATGGGTAGCCACCAGTATTGTAGACAAATATAGTACTTAACGGGAAGCGTCAAACTCAGGAACGCACTGGAGGAGAGGATTCAATGCTAAAATAAAGTTAGAGGATGAAGATATTCCATTCTTTTGAGAATGGCTTAAAGGAGTTAAAAATCGATACCTTTTGAGTAGTTAAGAAAGATGTGGTTCGGACAATAGAAAAGGCTGATGGATTCTCCTTGCTTAAATAGACTTTCCCCTCAGGGTGAGAACCCTTTGTTCTACACTCCCCATATCTATGGAAAAATACCAGGTTCAAGATGGATTCCAGTACTAGGTAGCATGGTCACATGTTTTTCCTAACACCAATTACAACTTGGGCTTACAGGACAAACATACCATTCACAAGTTGTTGGCTTGAGTGCTGAGTCATTAAGTCTGGGAGCATCGTAATAGCCCTCATTAGCATATTTAGTGTAGGTTTGCTAACTGCGCTTGTGTATCTAGAATTTGTGTGGTGTGCCAACTAAACCATAGTAGCACTTTGATTTGACACAGAGAGAATGTACAGCTCTTACACTCAATGTTGTGTGCAATCAGCACACACCTCACCTCACATGCCCTTGTCATATATGCATGTCACTTTAGTTATACTCGTAGAAAAAAATGATACAGACAGAAACCAGCAGAATCTGGCAACCCTGGAAGTGGGCAACTCTAAAGAAGATGTCTTGCGGCCCATGTATAGAACTTCGATGGATTGCATGTGGACCTCAGGCTGCAAGTTGCTCACACTTCTCTAGCCCAGTGTTTCTGTTTCTTATAGGACTTGGACTGACCCAAACTCTGTAATATTTTAGAGTGAGAGAAGTCAACAGGATAGACAAGATGTTTATTCAGTTTCAGGTTATGTTGCAAATGCCATCCTCCCATCAAAAACAAATCAGCAGTTTCGGAGACAGGTTAAAGGATACCGCGGAGTAAACTGTTGGTATCGTTTCTTTCCTTCGCTTCAGTTACCCTTTTAATAGTTTGAAAATAAAAGTTAACTATTTTCAACATGCCTTCCTCCACTTGTGCAGCCCTTGTTCCTTTCCCTTGAGTACAGGGACAAGCATGTACCCCCTGTCACCATTCTGAGGTTCTTATGGTTTCTCACTCCTGTTCTGGGGCCAAAAGGATCTACAAATTCAGCACTTCTTGCTAATGTGAGACTCGCCTAAGCACCAAAGGCAGTTGTCCTGCAGGTTGCTGACTGGCATAGGACTCTGGCAATTAGCACATTTTAAAGCCATGGGACTAGAGCTATACTATACTAACACTAAGAGGGAAAATATTTACTAGTGAAAATGGTAATCAAACAGTACAAAGGCTACAGAGAGGACTGAAGCAAGCAGTTCTATGCACCGTCACTGGCAGCAAAAAGGAAATGAGGAGGGAAAGGGACGAGCAGCGCCCTATACTGCGGAGCTGGGAAAATTCTTGTGTGACGAACACATACATCTACACTGAAAGGACATGGGCAAGCACTCAAAGAAGAATATGTTATTATTTTGACTTTACAGTAGTGGACAGGACACATTTTTAGACTACTACTACTTTACACTTACATGGCAACTTCCAAGAAAGACTCTCAAAGCACTTTAGACGGAGGATACCATACTACTGATTGGTGAACCAAGATTTAGAGAAGTAAATGGTCTTGTTCTGGTGAGCCAGTAACAAAAGTTGGACAAGAACACTTAACTCCCAGCCTCTGCTTTGCCTCCAACCCCTTCACCAGGCTGCCTGGCTGCCATTCTGCAGTTTCAGAAAATGTTACTGGAAAATTTCTATTTTATGAAAGACCTTTTATTTACTAGTGAATCTGTTAGAATTCCAAGTAAAAAGAGTTCACCACAGGACTTGGGATATTTAGGAATGTGTAATTAAAAGCATCTCTCTCTATGTGCTATTTTGGACCTATATACTTTTTTATAATTAAACTCATATTGAAAGACAGCAATTCTCATTAATCTTAAAGACAGCTGCGTCACCGTTATATATTTCCACATTAGCCACTTACTCCACTGCATTAATGACAATATAAAATATAATCAATAAGGTTCTCAGAAAAGAGAGTTATTTCTGTGTAGTTATTTTATTTTAAAAAACAGAATAAGAACCACATTTCTCAGCCTAACCTTTTATGTAGGAAGTGTTATGGTAAGCTGTTTGGCCAGGCACCCGCTTTACAGTATGTCCTGGTTAGTACAGAAAACACTGTTGGTGCCCATCAATGAAAATAATAATGAACGAAGATATGTATTACATTACATGGAAAATTATCCCATTTCAACAGAATTATACAAGTCTCTTCCAACGGAGTTGCATCAGGGTTGATTTTGGTCCAAGTTGGCCAAGTTATCTCCTGCTCAGTCTTATAAATAATTTTGAGTAAGTATTTACAGAAAACCTCTTCATGAAGTAGAGATTAGGTTTTTAGGGTTGTAGAATGTGTCATCCTTAAGTTCATACCTCCCAGCTCTGTGATCAACATACCGGGCTGGTGCTGTGGAGATGCAGGAGTCAGGGCAGGGCAGAGCCTTGGGGATGTGGGAGGGCAAGGCAGGATGCTCATAATAGGGGTGCAGAAGTCAGGGGGAGTTGAGAAGGGGCTCAGAGCAGGTGGCTGGGGACATGGGGGAGTGTAAGAGTGAGGAGGGGCTAAGGAAGGAGCCATCTGGCAGGGTTTTCTCTCCCCATAGCAGCCAGGAGCTTTTTCTCCCCCCTGCCCTAGCCCTCCTGGCTGGCAGGGGCTTCCTGCCACCACCACCCCAAATTTCCCACCCAGCAGGGGCCTCCCCCTTCTTGGCCCTGCTGCCAAGAGCTGGGGGAAGGAGCAGAGTTTGGGACAAGTGGCTACTCACTTGGTCAGCCTCTTCTAACCTGAACAATCTATTCACTGTCTTTTTTCTCCCCTCCCTGCCCCTTCCTTATTTATTCTTGAATCTAGACTTTTAATACTCCAGTCATCTGAAGAAGTGGGTTGTGCCCATGAAAGCTATCAATATGTTTTGTTAGTCTAGTGCTACTAGACTATGTGTCGTTTTTTAAGTTTTTACTTG